AATACGGTTAGATGGAGTGCACAATAATAAACGTGAGAGAGCACATTAGTGTATAGTTCGCGCACTAAATTATATAAGATAATATTTGTACATATTATGAAATAGATATTAGTTATTTACAATAAACAATAGTATAAAATATTACATAAAAAATAAATACTAAACAAAAGTTTATTATGTAAACAATTTGATAAATGCAAAATATTGTTAATTGAAATTCATAAATGTTAATATTTTTTTTTTAAATTGTAATATACATAGAAAACACTCAATCAATGAGTTTCACATCGAGTTGCACAATAACAATAAACGAAACGCACATTATTGTTCGAGGGAATGCAAATTATTGATTCGATGTCTTATTTCATTTTCAACAAAAAATAAAATAAAATAAAATATTAAATATGTAAATAAAAAATATAAACTATGCACAATAATGCTACACTAAGTGCACATTAGTGCGTCCGATATTACACATCAGTCTAATATTGTATTACACAAAATGACGCCGCATGTAAAAATAAAAAATCACTATTTTGCTAGTGACCATTTTTTCCACATATATTAAAAGTTTAGTTATTTTGATTCGATTTTGACTTTATTTACAATATATAAATAAATAAATAAATAACGATATAAAATAATTGACCAAACTATATAAAGGATATTAGTTTTATAAATTATCTATCTATATATATGTATTTTTGTTTTAAAATAAAATAAAATATTGAATAAAAATGTATAAATACTAATATGTTTTACTATATAATTAATTTGACAAAGGCAAAATAAGGTTGATTAAAATATACATTATTAAAAAAAATCTTAGAATGTAATGCAGATAAAAATATAGACTCAATAGACTGCACAACAATGTTAGCTCAACTGCACATTAATGTCACTAGAAATGCACATTATCAAATTTATGTATATTAATATCATGTGTTTCCAATAAAAAATACAAATTCTAAATATAACTGTTAAAATACTAAATATATTTTTACAAAGAAAATAGTAAATCATTTAGATTATTTAGTTAATTCGTTTAACTAATTGAATAAACCAATTACTTCAATCCGGAACCAGTTTGATTCGAGCAAATTATTAAAAGTGATTGTACGCGAATGCACAATAATATTAAAAGAGGTGCACAATCATGACTATCAAATTGCACAATAACAACCACAAAAACTAAAAAGTTCACTTTCAAATTTTATATTTTGGTACGATTACTGTTTTTATTTTTTATCAGTGGCGTCATTAATTTTATAGTACACAACACGATCAAACTATATTCTTTTGTTTATATATATTTTATGTAACAATATACAATATTATTTACTTTCACAAAAAAAGGAACAAATATACTATATAATATAAGGTTAAATACTAATTATATTTTAATCAATTACAATTTGGACATATGAACTACACTGTAATAATACTAAAAATTATAAATTTGCAATTGAGTCCCTACATCTTATCAAATTTTCAAAATATCTAACCCCAAATTCAACCATAAAATTTCCACCGCACACTCCCTCCCCCATATGGCCATATATGCCCAGGTAGCCGGCGACGCCGTCGCACATCATCAACTTGCTTCTTCACGGCGGAGCGAGCGGGGCTGGCGACAAGCGGGGTCGGCGGTGAGCGAGACTGGTGACGCCAAGGTGGTGGTGTGACTGGGTGAACGTGAAGCGGCGGCAACGGGCGAGCTATTGGAGGCTGGGGAGGCGGTTGGGCCGGCGGCTGGCGGTAATGATGGTGGTGTTGCCGACATATGTGTGTGTATGTGCGTCGATGTGTGTGTGATGTGTGGTGGAGAAGTGTGAAAGAGAGAGAGTTTTTTTTTTCGGCGCTGAGGAGAGTTTATTTTTACAGGAAGAGAGAGAGAGAGAGTTGGTGGTGGGTGGGGGTAGGTGAGAGAAACTTGGGGAATGGTGAGTGTGGTGGGGGTGGGTCCACTGTTAAATGTATTGGGTTAATGTCATATCTACCCTTAATGAGTGTCAAATTACTGAATTACCTTTAATGTGTTTGACTTTAAATATTAATTTTGTTACCATCATGACCATTGATATGTTAAATCTAATGGTCCACAATAATTCTTATTTCTTTCATTATGACTCATTCTCATTTGAGCGCATCTATATATATATATATATATATTACACACAATATTTATTTAAATAAATAGGCAATTA